ATTTTTTCAATAAATTAATGATTGTAATTGCATTTATCTGTATGTCATGTTTTTCTTATAACGTACAGAAATGTTTAGGCTTATAGGTAGGAGTGGAATTAGCGACTATAAAAATATTTTATTGCTATATTGTTACTAAAATGTTTATTTTCCTGCATATTTCGGTCATTTGCGTTTTATATCCTTTTATATTCGCTATATGGGTAGGTTAAGGTTTGGGGGTAGGTTAAGGGGTCTAAAAATCTAAATCGCTTATGGATAAAAATGCATTGATACGAATTTCTTGATGATATAAAAGATACATAAATATTTTTACGTTTTTTAGCTAAAAATACGTAGCGATTTGTACGTTTTAAATGTTAAAATACGTCTAAATTGTACGTTTTAGCATTAATAGAAACGTACAAAAGTGTACGTTTTGTGCTTGTAAATGTTACGTATTAATACCTACGTATAAACATGAGACCAGGCTGGAAAAACACACAGCAGCACCAAACACACTACAGCTGCTTTGTAGCTTCTGTTCCTCACTGAATCACTTCCTGAGAATTCCCACAGACTTGATGTGTTATGCTGAATGGACTAACAAGTATTCATACATCTTTTCTATTTTTAAAAGTACTGTTTGCATGTCTTCAAATATTTATGCATAAATTTGTGCTATTATTTTTCAAGAGGAAAAGTATTATTTATTCAATTCTGTACCTGTGTGTTCAGGTGGCTGGATTCTCGTCGTATTCGAGTCTTCTATCTCCGTTGTGATTTCACCTCTTATAGCATCAGCATTTTCATAGATATCATCAGTCTTCCTTTGTCTTGCTCCTGTGTCCATTTTCTCAGTCATATCCAGTGAACAATATCTTTATTCTATTATTATTATTTTATTCTTTTTGCTATCAACTAACAAATAAAGATAACACATTAATAGAAACGTACAAAAGTATACGTTTTGTGCTTGTAAATGTTACGTATTAATACCTACGTATAAACATGAGACCAGGCTGGAAAAACACACAGCAGCACCAAACACACTACAGCTGCTCTGTAGCTTCTGTTCCTCACTGAATCACTTCCTGAGAATTCCCACAGACTTGATGTGTTATGCTGAATGGACTAACAAGTATTCATACATCTTTTTAAAAACTTTATTTTTAAAAGTACTGTTTGCATGTCTTCAAATATTTATGCATAAATTTGTGCTATTATTTTTCAAGAGGAAAAGTATTATTTATTAAATTCTGTACCTGTGTGTTCAGGTGGCTGGATTCTCGTCGTGCAGTCAGCAGAAGAACACACAGCAGCACCAAACACACTGCAGCTGCTCTGGAGCTTCTATTCCTCACTGAATCACTTCCTGAAGAACAAACATGCTGTTATTCTTTCTATTTGTGCACACATCAGTTGAGAGCATCAAAACTTTGTTATTGTTTTATTTGTTATATTACTGATATTAACTGAATTATTAATATCAGTACCTGAGTTCAGATGATTTTCTTTGCATTGAATCTTTTCCAACTTTACATCGTATGACATAATTTGTGTAGATATTTTCAGTGCTTTCCCCATCTTCTCTGTACATCTTCTCAGTTTTTCAATATTTTCTACTTTCAGAAAGTTTTGGCGTTGTCAAGATGCTGACAAACTAACACTGGATTCTGTCCTGGAGTGGACTGTATGTGTTCCTCATCTGTGTTTGTGTCGTCAGTATTTATACAGAAAGGAACTTAAACTCACTGCAGAAGCACTTTTTTTCTCTCTACCATGTGGATTTGGTTCATTTTAATGGAATTTTAAAGCATATATTAAGACATAATTATGTATTGTCCTCATTCATTGTGGGCTTGTACATTTTGACAGTGGCTGCTGCTGGAAAACAAATCCTAAACATTTTTTGATGTCTGTAGTGCAGTTCAATTAAATGGAATCAAATTAAAACACTTTTTTCTGATATATTACACAATTCTTAAATTCTGGTATTAAGGATTTTTTTGTGTAAAAAATAATAAGCAATATAAATTATTCCATTCTTTCATAAGTTTAAAATTATACAAACAAAAGAAACATCTGCATGCAGTGTAATTTGAGGTCCATCACTGTCCACCATTCGTGGTTGTTAGAGGAATGTTTCATCATTGACGCAGCAATCAGAGCTTTTAATGAAAAGACACATGTGTGGGTCATAAAGTGGTTACATACATTGTGTGTGTGTTTCTGCTTACACTGCATGATTAAGTCATGTCAGGCATGTTTTTAGTGTTGTGTGAAAGTAAATTGTGAAAAGTCTTTTGTATAGTCTGATGTGTATGTTAGTATACAGTATGTATGACATGCAATAGGTTATATGTTGTCACAGGGTTCTCTGTTGTGACAGGTTTTTAAGGTGAAATTTAAATATTTAAAATATATTTAAAGCAAAACCACAGGCAACTATGCAGAGGAACTACAGGGATTTCTTCTCCCTCCTTCTCTTCCGTTTATTTTTTTGTCATCTAACCAGGGTGCTTATTTTATTACTGTTGTGCCAGCGTGCTATGCCATTTTGTATATAAATTTTAATTGTGCTTACATACTTTACTTCTGTAAATAAAAAAAAAATTTAGTGTTTTTTAAGATTAGATGTGTTTTATCTTAAACACATCGAGTATAACATACTTGTCTCACATACTTTAAACCCTTAAAAAATGCTTACAAACCAAACCTGAGATTAACAATAATGTCGGAGCTTAAACTCCTTTTAACACTTTTGTTTTATTCAAACTTCTTTTAAATACTGGAGTGATACACAAATAATGTACAAATAATAACTGAAGACTAGAATCTCACTTATATAGCAGAAAACTCTGTGACGTAAATTGTAAATTTGCCAGACGTTTCTGGTCGAATTATTACAAAAGTTTTGTATTGTTGATGTTCCTATGGCAGAATGAACTGTGAAATCCTCTTCTCACAGATCCATTAAAAAGTTTCATTACGTGAATAATCAAGCCACCCTACTATATTAGGCCACTCTGGCAGTTTAGGCACAGCTACAGTCACAACACAGTCCTCGTCTACAATGCCTTGTCCTCTATTTGGCTCTCCTGACGCCCAGAAGCTGAAACTACAGATCAGCATTAGATGTTCAGTGCTGCTTTCTGTGTGATATGATACTGACTGTGAGAATCATTTATTAAATAATAATTAGTTTAATTCAGTGATTTCTCACCTGGAGTTCAGTGTGCTGCCATCAACCCATTTCCGTCTGCCCTCCACATCAGTGTCAGTCAGACCAATATAAAATACAGCATTACCAGACGTGTTGTGAACAAAATCCTGAGCAGATAAAACGGTTGCACATATATATGACGTATATTATAACTTCATTTACATAGATATTATCAGTGCTTGCCCCATCTTTGTACATTTTCCAAATTGTTCCTAGATTTTCTTTTACACTTTTCAGACAGTTTTGGTGTCGAAGTAACACTAGTGTCTCTCTCCTGGAGTGGACTGTGTTGTTCTCTTCATCTGTGTTTGTGTGGCCAGTATTTATGCAGACAGGAACTTCAACTCACTGCAGAAGTACACTGGATTTGTTTCCCCCATGTTTTTGAAGAAGTGTGAGTAATCTGATGATTTTCAAAGGAGGTAAACTTTACACGCACACAAAGAAAAACAAGTAGATAGAATAGAAAAAATAGAAAGCTAGTGTTAGTTTTTTTATATAAAAAAGAAGATAAATAAAGTAGAATTAAAATAGAATAGAAAGTGCTATAGTTAGAGGGTCAAGTAAAGATGGAACAGATGTGTTTTTAGTCATTTCTTGAAGATGGCTAAGGACTTGTGATAACACTCATGGAAAGAATATGTGAATGAAGATGTGAACTCTTGAGAAACTAACACCAAGCATAATTAAGCACTGAGTAATGAATAATACTAAATAATTCCTTTTGTGTTCTGTCATAGTCTTGATTATTCATAAAATGTGGATTTTTTTTTTTTTTTTTATAATAATGAGTAGATGTGCGTAATGAAAACAAAGATGTTTCATATTATACTTAGTTTAATTTAATTATACGGAATACCACAAGAACACATAATAAAAATAAAACAGAAAAGCTGTCAAAATATCTCCTAGCAAATTTTCTATTTTTAAAAAAAAAAGCTTGAAAGCGGTCCATTCAGAATTTCCATTTTTAGGTTAACTTTAATGTTTATCAAGTTGAATTTCGCTTGACAAAATGCATTCATTCAGAACATCCTGCAACATCATCACAGACAAGGCTTGAGTCACACATATTAGAGGAGTTTAGGTTTAATACCATAATACACTTCTGTAAATAAATACAGATTCAGTGGTTTTTAAGATCAGATTCGTTTTATCTTAACCATCATCATGATGTTTGCATTGTAACTATGTGACCGAAACGATTGCCTTGTTTCTTTTATCTTGCATATGATTTTTGGTGGAGTGTGCAGACTTTTTTCAAGTATTTTGCATGGTAACTATTACATCTAACATATGTCTCACATACTAAGATACAAACCAAAACCTGGGATGAATTAATAAAAATGCTGCAGCCGTAACTCCTGTTTAACACCTTTGTTTTATTCAAACTTATTTTAAGTACTGGAGTGTTTCACAGTGACTGGTGCTGTATAACTGAATAATGTACAAATAATAAATAAAGACTGAAATCTCACTTATAAATTGGAAAACTCTGACGTTCACTCACAAGGCATTTCTGGTTGAATGAAACGCACTTCTGGAGTCCCATTTTGCACATTATGTATTATGGACATGAAATGGGATTCTGACAAAAGGAGACATTCAAAATGGGCAGTTGTGGGCGTCCTCCAGGAACAAGGTTGAGAAATACTGTTTTAAATAATAATCAATTATTACAAAAGTTTTGTATTGTTGAACTTGTGTGATGTTCCTATGGCAGAATGAACTGTGAAATCCTCTTCTCACAGATCCATTGAAATTTGTCATTACATGCAACATCAAGCCACCCTACTAAATTAGGCCACTCTGGCAGTTTAGGCACAGCTACAGTCACAACACAGTCCTCGTCTACAATGCCTTGTCCTCTATTTGGCTCTCCTGACGCCCAGAAGCTGAAACTACAGATCAGCATTAGATGTTCAGTGCTGCTTTCTGTGTGATATGATACTGACTGTGAGAATCATTTATTAAATAATAATTAGTTTAATTCAGTGATTTCTCACCTGGAGTTCAGTGTGCTTTCATCAACCCATTTCCAACTGCCCTCCACATCAGTGTCAGTCAGACCAATATAAAATACAGCATTACCAGACGTGTTGTGAACAAAATCCTGAGCAGATAAAACGGTTACACATTTATATCATAAATAGGCACATTTAATCTGACCATCTCACATTTAGCTGCTACACACTGTAAACACACAATCTCTCACTCACTTTTTCCTCTCTGTTGTTTATGATGATCAGATCTGCTCCTTTCTCTGTACAGTATCTTCTGCTCTCAGTCCAGGTCTTATTCTCTTTGGACATGTAGTAAAAACTGGACCGATAGCAAGTCCATTCAACTGTTAAAATAACCAGTTCAGCTGTTAGCTTGTTATCTCCGTTCACACTCATCTGTCTGTAACTTCTAACAGACAGTATACTCATACATTGTGTACACTAAAAGTTACTGCGACCACAACCCAACTCTATCATGCTTTAAAAATGTCTGATGTATAGCAAATAAGTACATAGACTATAGAAACTTTACCACAGATCTGAAGTTGATTTCTTAGCTGTTTTCTCTCATTGGTCAGATTTGTGTTCTTGAGTATTAGTTGCTCTCTCTCATTGGTCAGATTTGTGTTCTTGAGTATTAGTTGTTCTCTCTCATTGGTCAGATTTTCAATCTTGGATATGAGCTGTTGTCTCTCTTGAGTGAGTGGTAAAAACTGGACCGATAGCAAGTCCATTCAACTGTTAAAATAACCAGTTCAGCTGTTAGCTTGTTATCTCCGTTCACACTCATCTGTCTGTAACTTCTAACAGACAGTATACTCATACATTGTGTACACTAAAAGTTACTGCGACCACAACCCAACTCTATCATGCTTTAAAAATGTCTGATGTATAGCAAATAAGTACATAGACTATAGAAACTTTACCACAGATCTGAAGTTGATTTCTTAGCTGTTTTCTCTCATTGGTCAGATTTGTGTTCTTGAGTATTAGTTGTTCTCTCTCATTGGTCAGGTTTTCATTCTTGGATATGAACTGTTGTCTCTCTTGAGTGAATGTGACACACAGCACTATGACAGCAGTCAGCAGAAGAACACACAGCAGCACCAAACACACTGCAGCTGCTCTGGAGCTTCTGTTCCTCACTGGATCACTTCCTAAAAATGACAGGCATTATGTTATTCTATTTTCTTCTCCATTTCTCTATCCAATTTACACCAGCTTTTATGAGTAAATGTTTTTGCAATTATTTTTTGCAGTTACCTGTGTGTTGAGGTGTTTGGGTTTTCGGTGTTTGGTTGTCAAAGTCCTCTTTGTCTTTTTTATGTTTCATATCTCTTACAGCCTCAGCACTCACATAGATATCAACCATCTTCTCTATTCTGTCTTCTGAGTCCATTATCGAACCTTTGTCCATACTTTCATTCACATGCCCAGACATTTTCCATGCAGGTTTGGATGGCTACAACCTTTTAATTTTGAAGCGTAAATGTGAAATAATAAACAAAGCTATAAGTCCTACCTAACTAATACTGTCTCTTAAGGGGTATTTCGTTGTACTCCTGATGTATCTGTGTGTTTGTGGTAATGGTTCATGTATTTATGCAAAAAGGAACTTGCAATATGCAGGAAGTTAACACAAATGTCACAATCTTCTGCGATGGGATTGGTGAACGTAAATGAGGGACATTTAATGTGCAACTGTGCAACAGCCTTTAATATCAAATGTATTTGCTAGTAAAATTGATTTTTACATGTTTAACATTAGCATCACACTTGGAATTTAGCAAGTTCATGAGGTCTCATGAGAATCCTGAAGTATAAATTCAGAAATTATTATGTTGTGAGGTGAGATGGCATGAAAGAATAAAACACTTTTTTTCTCTCAGGATATCTATCATTCTCATTCTATTGTCAGATGATCGAGCACAGAAGACAGATGAACTCAGATTATAATTTTGGGCAAGCAAATGCTCTTAATTTCTCTTTTATCCAATTGCTCACTGGCATGTGACTCATGGGTTCATTTAAATCAAACAGATATTGAACGCACGCAGTGTCAGGCATTCTTCTATATTAGAGAATGGTTCTAACTACCGGCTGTCAAGATGCTTCATCATGGTTGCTTTGTTCTGCGACTTCAGAAAAGCCAAACTCAGCAGGCAAGCCAGCTAAAACTATTATGTTGCTAAACTGTCAGACAACTTTTCCCTCCTCTCTGTCGTTTACTTTCTCTTCGTCTCTCCGTGCAATTTCTCCCACCTGAGGTTTTAATTGTCAGAGCAACTGAAGTGACGTGACAGAAGTAATTTTGTGGTCCATTATGTTTTTTTGCAAAAGACAGGCCCAACAATTAGCATGTCACTGAAAAGCATTGTTCTACACTTCCCAGTCGTTAAAGGTAATCTTCCTGAAAAATGCACTCTTTGCTTTGCAGTCATTGGCTTCATATGGGTTATATGTATTTTAAGGAGATACAGTGAAAAATATTATCATTAATCAGTATGTATGTATGCGTGTATGTATTTATTTATTTATTAGTAAAACTTTTCTGAATGTCTTTAAACAAGTTACATATAACTAAGTTTTTGGTCTGTTTAAAGCATAAATTCTTAATGTATTATGTGTTTTTCCCCATTATTCTGCATGTATTGTATGTGTGAAAATAACATTAATAATTTGAATATGAATCTTTTAATTTGACTTCAAAACGAATAAGTTCCTCTGACTTAATCAAAAGTTTTTTCCTACATTTATTTGAATTTTTAGGGGTGCATTCTTTTAGAAAGGTAATTTTTTAAATCAGTAATGTTGTTTCTGGCAGGAGTGCATTTCCACTCTATAAACATTATAAACAAATTGTAATTATATTTCACAGTATTGCCTTATATCTGATCAAACGTCTGCAGTTTGCAGGATGTTATAAGTGTAAGGCTTCAAAAAGTGTGAAGCCCTGTTAATGTTGTTTTAGGAACATACAAAGGTATCAGAAGTGCAATTTCCTCTTTTCACTAGTACAAACCACTAACTAGGGGAAGTTGATTTTAGCACTATTAACAACATAAATAACAGACTCTGTTCTCATATAGTCTCATATTTCTGATGGGGAAAATGACCTTAAGAGGTTTTCTGTGCTGCTATATTGTCACATTCCACCATTCAGTACAAAAATGCAACAAATATGTTGATTCTATGAGCTTATATATTCTGAATTATACATTCAGTGTCCTTTCCCAGTTTTTCACTGTCAGTCAATCTTAAACGCTGTCTGCACAGAAAGGAAATTTAAAATGGCCTCTGCTTATTTTTCCATCAGTTTGATTGGCTGCTACCCTGGAGCGTGTATCAGGTCTTTGTCTGGGTTGACAAGAAGTCAGGCATGAAGGATATGACATCGTAATGAGTCACCGTTATCGCGGCCATTAGAAGGTCCACACGCCGAAGTTTGAGTGACTGGTGTAGGAAGGCAGACGCTAACGGCCTGTGTGGATCCATCAAGTGCCTGCTATTGTTCATCCACATTAGATGGGCAGCTTTCTAATGGTAATTGAGTTTGTTTCGTTTGGCAAAAGCAGGAAAAATGCCACCGGCTCCACTGATGAGGGTCCTTGATTAGGCCTCAGCTTTATTTCCCATTCTTTTTGCACAACTGGAGAGACCGCTCCACATAAATGATGAGACAGGCTCTCTTCAGCAGGGCCCCAAGAGGGAGGCTCGTGGTCTCGGCGTGTCGCCCGCGCACGTGTAATGTGGGAGCTTTATGCTGTTGTGAAATGCCAAGGGTGCAGGCATCCATCCATCATCGTTACAGCTGTGGCTTCTGTTTGGACTCAATACAAGAGACACATTTTATTCACTATATTAATTATTTTGAACTCTCATCACAGCTTTAGTTATCAGTGCGTCTCGATTAGTGTTGCTCAGAACAGATTCTTCAGCTCACGTTCCTCTGATAACATGGTGCTTTTTACTGAACATTAATAGATTTCATAACATATTTCCCCAGACATTAGTTTTAAATTAATTAAATCTAAATTTCCTCTACTCTTACTTTACTCCAAAAAACGCACCTATACATACCAACACAATCACATGACAATTCATAACTAGTTTATATTTTGGCGAATTGGTGACTAATTTTGTGAATTCATTCTCATTTGTACATTTTCATATGTTCTGCTTACAACCTAGTGAAGGTTATACCCAAAGTTGGGGTGGGCCTTAATGCCTTTTTTTGAAAATCCAATTTCTTTGTACGATTCATAAAAATTCATATGAAATTGCCACCTCATAAAACTATTACGTTTTTCTGTGAGATCAAGTTGTACATATAATTTAAACACTAGCAGTGGTAAAACAGCCAACAACTGTTGTTCCTTTTCACACAAATTATGATTATGGGGCAGATTATTTACATTTTTCATATGGTTCCTCGCTAAATACTATATTACCACCTCAAAACCACTTATACTGTAGCGCATGAATTGTAAACTAATAAATTTTAACGTTTACAACACATATCCAGCTCCATGTGTATGGTTTTTCGGGCATAGTAAACTTGCTCAGTATCTCACCTGGTACACTTGCAATGCAAAACTCTTGGATATGAGTCCTGTAAAACATAGTGCGAAAAAAATGCTCAAAGCCATGTAGAAACAGGGTTAAAATAGCATGACTTCTTTAGCAAATGTGCTTTTGTCTCACATTTTCTTGTTAACACAGCGGTGTTTAGTGTGAAAGAGGTACATTATTTTTTTAATGTAATAGAGCATTAACCTTTTAGCACCACTCAATTTCCTATCTGCTGAGATATGTTCATGAACCAACGTAATAAAATATTGGCATAGTCACATTTATCTGTTTTGAAGAATTTTGAATGCACTTTTTAGTGCCACTCACTAGGGCTGCCAAAAAAAATGTGAATTTCGAATATTCGTCGAATTTAAAAAAAAACAAAAAACGTTGCATTCGAATTTTAGGTGTGCGTCAGGCAGCCTTATCAGGGGCGCACGAAATGCGACGACGATGTAAGTGTCATTGCATTTTAATGCTTTTGTTAGCCTGTCCAGTTGAACCCACTAGATGCAGCGCTGCTACGTTGTTCATTCAAAATATTGCAGAAAAAGAGAACAATCAATGCGGGGAAGATGTTGTTTATGTCAAAACCGAAACCAAGCTGTTCACACAGAACACATATTTATCACATTTTCTAGAGGGACATCTATCACCGTTGCACTCGCATCTTGCACAAGAGAGCCGCATGTTTGGAAAGCTATGTAAAATGAATGTAAGTTCAACTTTTAAAAACAAGTCTCAAGACTTTATGGCGGTTTTCCCCATCCCACTGCATCTCAAGTTTTTAAATGAAGAAAGTACTCTTTGTGATTGGCTTTCTGTCCTTTGTATTAAACTATACATATAATTGTTTAAGCAACTTTATACATTATATATGGTTTATAAGCATTATTTTAAACATTATGCAAAGATAGTCATGTTATTTTATTATGCTTTGAAGAAACGTGCATAATATGTTGCTCGATGCGCCTTCTTGTGGCCTCAGGAGAGAAGCCAACAGCTTTTTTCCCCCAACTGAAATAGTGCCTTTTAATTTCGAATATAATTCGAATATTGATCATATTTAAGTAAAAAAATTTGAATTTAGTTTTTCAGCCATTTTGACAGCCCTACCACATTTCACGTAAAACATGCAAGAATCAACATAATGTTGTTTTTACAAAAATGTCATCACCGGTATGCATTTTTTATCAGCCTGGGTTGTAAATATCTGTCAAAAATCTGCTTCAATAAACCAGTGTTTAGAGGAGGAGCTGCAGTGAATGAAGGCATTGTGGGATACTGTGCATAATGGCAGAGGATGTGACAGAGGCCGCACCCTGCTGGAATTCACATAAACATTCATTCTGTGAACAGTAAACTCTGAGTTTCTTAAGAGTATAAGCATTGAAGAGGGAAGATCTGATCTGGTGAAGAAAACCGGTTAAAGCTGACGTAAGCTGATAAACAAAGTGTCCTTTAACGTCAGCAAAAAGGTCACTGTGTGTTCGTGCTGAAGAATATTGAGGGGCTGATTTGTAGCAGTGAACTTTTCGCTACGAATTTAAATCCTTAATACTTGTCCGTAAATGTCAGATCGGTAATAATACTCAAACCAATAACATGATGTTGTTGTTAATGAGTTTAAAGCAATACAATAAATGAGCCTCTTTATTATGAGTTGTGTTATAATGGGATGCTTAGCTTCATCTTAAAAGTGTGATAATCAAATATTATATTTCACAAAGGTGCAATATATTGCAATATATTTCACAAAGGTGCAAGTTATTCCAGTACTGTCTGTACTGGGTTACTGCCCCAGATAATTTAAACATATTGATGTTTAAGTCTTTTATTCCAATAATTCCAGTGTGGAAGCATCACTGGACTGCTTGACTCAGTGCTGCTGTTCTAGCCAAACTTCATTAGAGGCACATAGTTGAAAGCAATCTCAGATGTCAGCGAAACAGCAGTGCCCCATAGACTACAGTAACTGA